TGATTTTACCAATATTTTGTAAATAAAATAAAAATAATATAATTATTTATATCAGTCTTAAATAATATATATATATACCAATACCAATTTAAAATAATAAATAGACCTAAAAGAATCTTATAAAATATTTATAGATCCATGTTAAATTAATTTTATTAATTATGAAATAATATTAGATAAACTTGTGGTATATTTTTCTGACATAGATTTGAAATATTCATATTAAGAAAAAATTCAATTAGATGTAATTGTACAACTATTACCAATATTAAATATGTGAATTAAAAGAAAAAAATAAATCTGTTGTTTGTTAAACTATTATTCAATTATTGCTTGAAAGGAAGCACCATAATGGTCGTAAAATATATTTTTTGTGAATATAAACATGAATTAGTTACTTAATATTTTATCAGAACATGGAAATAAATTCAAAACTTTTTAATATTATAAACAATATAAAACTACATTTTTATCAAGTATATTATTACTATCAAGCACGTAAAAAGAATGCATTGCATATAAATGTTCTCTAATTCTTTCAAGAAATAAAATATTATTTGTGAATAAAATTAAAAAAAAAACAAGTAAACCAATAGTAATGCAATGAGGAAAAGAAAAATTCTGATTTTTTTTAGAAAAGTATGAATACTAATATCAAGAAACAAAAATATTTTAAAATTACTACTTTTTTTGTTGCTAACATTTAAGTATATGTTCTCTATAAGAAATTAGTTCTCATAAATAATGATTTGATATTATCATAAAATAGACCACAAATTTTAATAATGACTTCATAATAATAAAGTTAACAGATGACTAAGAGTATCATAATATAGTATAATTCAAATTCTTCTCATCTTAAATATTTTGCTTCTAAATATTGTCTCATTGTTTTGTTATTATTGAAGAATCAATAAAGGATCTTTATCTTGATTTTTTTAAGAATTAGTTATGATACAAAAGATTGGACAATAAATGCAATAAATATTATTAGACACATAAATATTGCAAATCCGAAAGAATATGGAAGGTATCTATCTTCCAAATTAATAACACTGAAAAGGGAATGTTTAATACTGATTAAAATATTTTTGAATGTTGAATAAGTTGTCACTTTTTTATAAGAATTTACAATTATAACTTTGTATTGTGCTCGATCATACGGGCAATTGTTTTAGAGTACATATTTCATGTAATGTGTGATGATTTCAAAAAAATAATTTAGCATCTTCATAGAAATACATGATTTTGGAAAATCAAATTTTATTTAGAGATGAAATTCGTTCCCACCTCATGGGGTAAGTACCAATTTGTCTATGTGGGAGAGAGAGAGAGAGACAGAGAGAGAGAGATACAGTGATTAAAAGAAATATCAAGAATTTTAATGACACAAATATTAAAAAATTTAATGCTACAATTGTTTATTTCACAGAGATACTTATGAACTATTAGTAGAAATACCTTATAATGATCATACAATCATAAAGTTTGACTATATATTTGGCTAAAGTATTTCTAAGTGTTGAATAAACAGACGTTTTGCAAAATTAATTAAGAAGAATTTTGCAATACTATTGATGTATTAGAATTCAACGAGTATGAATGTTTCTTATTAGAACATCAAAACTAAAATAAAAGAAAATGACTCTTGAATCTAACATAAATAAATAAAAAAACTCATGCATCTATAATATACATTATGTCTTTATTTAGTCATTTATTATTTTTTTTTAGGAACTCATTTTTCATATATTTTTGTTGGAGTTGTAATATGATATTTAAATCTTTTTATATTACGAAAAAAAAAATTTATTTAAAATAAAATGCATGAAAAGTTTATTTATTCTACATTTTATTTTGTTCCTGCAGTCATATGTGTAATAAATTAATTAATTTATCTTACTAAATTTAATTGATAAAAAACATTCGTCGTCACGTGCACCGCACGTGCACTTTACTAGTAATGTAATAAGTGTGACATTAACCACTTAACAACTAGAGGAGGTTGACGTGAAGCTTTTAAGGAAAGATGAATAAACAAAGGAAATAAAATTTCTTTACAGTAGACAGATGTATATTATAATAATTAACAAATGCCAAACCTTATCCTATGAATATTGAAAAGTAACATCTCTCAACATTGGCAAAGTCAAGAAAGAACACCAAAAAGATACTTTCTTCTTTCCCAATAATATAAGTAACCTCACCTCCACCACACATGATTTTAACCCTATCACTTTATAAAATTTCTCTATAATTTCTTTCATATGGAATGATAAAAGAATCAATTTACTTCAAGTACATCACTCCAAATTGATGTCAAGTCGTGGACCGTTGGTTAGACTCTAAATCAAGTTTATATTTGGATCTTTTCTTATAGCTATCCAGCTTACTTAATAGTTAATACATGTACTTGAGCATGATTCATATTTTAAGTTGATCTAATAACAACTCGGATAATGTATCCAAATGTGAATATAGCTTGAGTTCGTGTTNAATTGACTTGACCCATTTATTTATTTATTTGTTCAATCCGAAAGCTAAATACACTAATCTAATCCAACTTAAGTTCTTACTTCATAATCTAACCCAACTTAAGTTGTATTAGACACACAAGGACCTCCTATGGCTTCAGCCCCCTACCTACATGGGTCATGGATTCAATTTTTTCTTTCCTATTCAGAAAATTTGTGTATTTGTTTAGACACTGGAATTTGCGACTTTTGTTTGTAACTTTAATTACGCATATTAACAATAAAATGTATTTCTAACTTTGATCAATTTATTTTTATCACCAATATAAAGATAAACCGAATTGGTTTTGTACATAAATAAATATGATGGTAAATGATTACTGTTGACATCCGAGTTCGCCTCTAAGGGGAACCGGACGAGATGCGACTCCAAAAGCCGAACCGGAGACAGCAATCGACTATGAAAGTGCCGAGCTGGTTTTCGAGCTCAAATGACCGCCACGTCTCCGCGGATTCATTCTCGAGTCCGGCATGTGAATCGTCTAAGTACCGAAGCCAACCTCGATAGGGTGACGGGCTGAAGTAAGACTCCGGAGGGCTGGAAAAGCAGAATGGGCTCGGAAGCCGACCTGGGGTGCAGAACGGTAGCCCCATAGACGGATACAGGCTCGTTAATAATACAATAATACCACTTGGGGAGTAATCATTGATGATTGGACCAGACATGTAGCCTGCAGGCCTACGTCCCCTAGCCACGACATAAAGTTTGTCAGCATTAAATGCCCCTCATGTGTGCATTAAATGCCTGACAAGCAATGATTAGGAAAACCTCAAATCACATTGAATATTTGTCAGGGAAGCGCCGGACTGTGATGCAAGAACACTGTGCGACAAGACCGGTGAACAGTACCTAAACAGTGTCACATTAAAGGGCACTATAAATAAAAGCCCACTTCATTTATTTCAGGGTTGTTGAATCTTCAACTAACTGACTCTCTCTCTACCTTCTCTCTCTAAACTTGTAAGAAATCTCTGTAAGAATTTGTAAGGATATCACAAGTGCTGACCTCGTACGAGAGGCCGACCCAGTGATCTTTTAATAAAATCATAATTAAGCCCTATTTTCCTGTCATTCTCTCAACCCTTATTTTCATTACTTGTTACTTTAATCGTTGGCCGAAAACGCTCGTCAACAATTACATCATAACATATTAAGTTCATTTTATACGGATAATTTTTTTGCTATTGTGCCATCGAATCACAGAACTTATAAAATTATCTACAATTCATAAATATCCCATGATAGATAGTAGTCATCAGTTTCTTACTACCGTGATATCATCGTCATCATCATAAGAAAAAGAAAGTTAGTCAATGGGAGTGGGACCAACAGCCTTTTTAGAGCATCTCCAATGCTATGGTGTTGAAAGGCAATAATTTTTAACACATGTCAATTGATGATTGTAATGTTAATCCACATAAGAATAATGTTAAAAGACTAAAAATTTGAATCAAACTAGTATCTCCAATGCACCAATTTGATAAGAATTTATTTGTATAGGTGGACCAATTATAATAATTCATTAATACAAGAATAATAAAAAATTAAACCAAATATAAAGTGAATTAAAACCAAATATAAAGTGAATTAATGAGTCATCATGTTTAACATGGTGTTAGATATTAGAAAATGAGGTCAACATTGTTAACATTAAATGCCATCCACATCACCATGAAAGAGCTAATGACAAGATGCATTGGAGAATAAATTAGTAATAAACTTTCAAAAGTTGATGATATGGATAATTTTTTGCAATGTCAAAAGTCACATTGGAGATGCTCTTAGAAGATGCTCGTAGTGCGGAAAATGAGGCTCGGTGCACTTTTTTCCTTTTGTCACTTTCTTCCTAAATTAAATGGGTAGTAATATGTTCATAATATATTTGTTTTAAAATAAAAATATATTATTTATAAATATTTGTTTTAAAATAAAATCATATTATTGTATTGTAAGCACCTTCTACTTATCTTTAGGAAAATACTAATTTTTACAGAATAATTTCGAATTTAAATTTTTTCTTAAGGTACTTACTTAAAAATCTTTCTTAATTTTGCTTAAAACTTCTTTTCACTTTGCTTTACTTAACTACTTTTCTCTTTTGAAACTTAAGCCGCTAACTTAAGTTTTTGTGGGAGAGTTATTCCCATCAGTTAACTTTATTGCTTTCATACTACTTAAAACTAACTCATTCATGGATACTTGAAACATTTTGAAAAACAACTAAACGGAGTCTCAAACCGAGTTCTCAAAACAAGTTCTAAAAAAATTTAAAAGCATGAATCTTAAGAGTTTGAGCAGAAGAATAAACAATCAACACAACTTGACCACCATCGTCCCTTGTGTCTAACGCCAGCTGCTTAACCTGAAAATGAGGGTGAGCAAAACAACTAGCTCACCATGGGAACCATACTATACATTTATTCAAAATAAAAACAGATATCAGAATATAAGCATATAACATGAATAAACTGGTAGATGATGTTGTTGTATATACGAGATGCTGCTCGTACTGCGGGATTTACAATATGCTAACCGACCTCGCCTCGAGTATAGATCATGTGTGCACACCCAATTTATCTACCACGCACTGGGTGATCATACTCAAATGCCCACGCTAAAGCAATAATACTCATATATATACCTCATCTATAATACTTTGCGTTTATAAGGAATAAGGTATATATTGCATGGAAACACCCCACCTTTTTCTGTTGATGCTGACTGAATGGAATCATATGCACGTGATCTTTGTGAGGGATCGATTCCTCTTAATCTACAATTTAATTATTTAATTCTTATTACGGGTTTTGATTAACAGGCAGAAAAATAAATAAACAAGCAATCTAAGCCAAGTAATTAAGGCAAGCAAGAAAATAAAACAGATAATTCTTCTAACTCTCTCTCAACTTTTCTAGTCTCGTCTAGAGTTCTCGGATAATTTCTAAGACTCGGGAAGCTTTAATTTTAACATGCTCGAACAGGCCGGTCCGCGCACGATCAAACACGGTTCGGCTCGGTGGACTGTTCGGATTGACCGGTGCTGCGGCTGCCCAGCGCGACACGGCTTGCTGAGACTTAGGTCTTGGCCTGGTCGAGGCTGATGGCCTGGTCGGGGCTGCTGGACACGGCAATTTACTAGGTCGCGGCGCTGGGATGCTGCTGGTGCACGGGTGCGCTGACACGAGGCAGTTGGGATGTGCGCGGTCATTTGCGGTGAAGGGCGCAATGGCGCTGAGAAATCTCCTCTTCAATTTCTTTAAAAAATCACCCGTGGTCTCTATACGAAAAAGTGAAGACAATAACGATGGATAGGTAGGAATCGACTTCTATTTATTTTATCGTTTTGTGAATGTTATATTTTTACTCTTCGTACAAAATGAATGATTTGTTTGTTTTGTTGTTTTATAACTCCATAATTTCTTAAATGTGCAAACCACATTTAATTATGTTATTCATTTTCATTTATTTTTTTTCTGAAGCGAGGTCCACATGTGTATTTTGACAGGTCATGTCACTATTTCATTGTCGAATGTGGAAACCGTGTTTCGATTTGCAAAACTACAAAAAGTTATGTACTTAGTTGCTACTATATAAAGATTGTGATTAAAATGCAAAAGCCTAAAAGGCGGTATCAATTCTGCCTTATATTTAAATTAATTACATTCATTATATATATTTAGTTCATCCGTAGTGCATATTGATTATATTTAAATTTAATATATACATAATGCATATTTAGTTAATTTATTATGCATATTTATATATTTAAATTAATATATCATAATGCATATTTAGTTCATTCAACACCGAAAATCAGCGATCAACGCCAGAGTTAACGGTCAATGGTCAGAATAATATTTAGATACTTAAAATAAAGAAAATAACGAGTTAAACATTGACCACACATCTTGATACCTATCTAATGGCTAAGATTAAGTCTCACAAACTCACTTTAAGAAGGTGACTCATTGGAACTCATCCCTATATATATCTCTCTCTAGTCTCTACTTCTATCCTTCTCCATCTATCTATCTATCTATCTATATCTATTTATCTATCTATCTATATCTATACTACTATAAAAGGACGAGTGATTTTGTAAAAATAATGACCTGCCTAAAATACCCTTACTTTGACATATTTTTAATGGCAAATTAGTAATATAGTAATACTCATCTTATTTTAACAAATGAACTACCTAAAAAACTCTTACTTTGAATGGCAAATTAATACTACACCAATAATCATCTTATATTTTTAACTAATTAAATATTGATACATGAACAAAATATTCTAGCTCTCCAAAAAATCAACCTCAACATTCTCATACCATTATTCATCACCAATTTGCTTCTTTCACATATCTGTCAAACTGTTTTCTTTCATATCTCCTAAAAATCAACCCAACAAGGCTATGAGAGAATATATAGTTGATGTTTTGAAAACGTCTTTATTTTAATATAATTTTAATGTGAAATCGTAATCATATATTTTTAATTAACAAATGAACTACCTAAAAAACACTTACTTTGACTTATTTTTAATGGCAAATTAGTCACCTAAAAATCAGCCTCAATATTCTCATACCATTATTCCTCACGAATTTGCTTCTTTCACATATTTGTCAAACTGTTTTTTTCATATCTCCAAAATATCAACTCAGACAACAAAACTTTGAAAAGATATATAATTGATGTTTTGGAAAACATTCTTATTTTTAATATTATTTTCATATAAAATCGTAATTACTTTAATTAATAACAAAAACTATCCCACGAATTTGCTTCTTTCACATATTTGTCAAACTGTTTTTTTTTTTTTTTCATATTTCCAAAAAATCAACCCAGACAACAAGAACTTTGAAAAGATATATAATTGATGTTTTGAAAAACATCCTTATTTTTAATATTATTTTAATGTACAATCGTAATTACTTTAATTAATAACAAAAACTACTACATGAAAGTTTTAATGTTTAGGAAAGAATACACAAAAAATTTTTATATTGCAATAATAAATACAACGGTCAGACATTCCACTGAAAATCGCAACAAATAATATTCATTGGTATAGCGAATATATATATACATATTCTAACAAACTAGAAAAGTTGATCAATTCATTTAGTCACTTCGTTATTTAAGAAAAATAAAATCTTATATTTAGAAATTGCACCTTATATTTATTGAATTGAATTTTTATCCCACGAAAAAACATTATTTATGTGTTTGTTTGATTCCTTTTTTCCAATTTTGGTCACAAGGCCAATAAAGTTTTTCACCTGACCATTAGGTGAAGAACAAATGAAAGGACAATATAAAGTACAAAAATATAAAATTTACTAAATATTATAAAATATAATTAAGTTGTCATACTTACTAATAAATATGAAAAAAAGTAACAAATAAAAATGTTATAATTAATAGAAATAAAAATAAAAATTTTAAAATTGTACTTATCGATGCAAACGAACTGAATTGTTCAATGCTTGTTAATTTTTTGTGTTTATTAGTTCTATGTGTAAGTTTTAGGTAATAGACAATAGTTATATGTGCTTTTATCCATGTAGGTTAGAACTTTTTATTTTTTAGAAAAAAAATGATTATTTTATTTTTAAATAACCTTTTATTTTCTTTTTAATATAATATTAAATAATATTACATATATAAAATAATAATTATTTATATACTCGTGTTACGAAGTGCAGCAACAGAAGCTTGAATCTATTAACAATAAAGAGACCAAACGCATTAGATGAAATTCAGTGGTTCCAATTGACAAGATATGAATTGCAATTGACCTCCGGATATCTCATGATTGTTTGATGTGAGCTTTCTGGGTCAAGTGGAAGTATATTATGAGGCACATATATCTGAGTCTTTTCTGCAACCTTGGTGTGTTTTTCTAAAATCTGAATGGAGACTAGAATAGATCAGATTACCTCATCATCAAGAATACAACTAGCAAAAGGGCATCAGGCACACACGAGCATAGCTTAGTATTTAGCACTGCAATAAGTGCTGGGAGCATTACCTCATCATCCACCTCTATAGCTACTGTTAAATTTACTGCCTTTAAGACCTCAAACAGCACAGCAGCCGTTTGATAAGCTTTTGTAAGTCGAGCACTGGATAAGAAACAAAGATAACTCCAAATTTTGAATATATTTACACACACATAAACTATCGAAAATGCTAGTAATAATGCCCAGATAAATACCGGTCTGCTTTATCAGCAGCATTTTGCAAAGCCTCAATATACTTTCTGTAGTAGTGCTGATAAAAACTTTTCATTTCCCCTTCATCACTTCCTTTTCTTGTTGCCAACGTCATCTCAGTTTCCTTACAAAGAATATTTCAAAATTAAAATTTCGTCTAAAACGGGTTAAACTGTTTCCACCCGTGAAAAATATATTGCTGGGTAAAGAATTGACCAGTAGCAATAATTCAGAATCGAGTCAATAATACACTTTGCTTATTAGCTCATCATATGCATTAATGTATGAAACAAAAAACAAGTTTAAGCAACACATAATGCATCTCTACAAAGTGATGACATATGGCATCCTGTTCATGCTACAATAATATCAACCTTTAAACCAAAATTAATAACAACAAAAAGTTCAGTTGTAAATTATGATGTACCCTTTCAAGACGTTGGAGAAGAGCGGTTTTAAACTGACGAACTCCACGTCCACTAGATGTGGGATCCAGGCGATGAGCTTTCTCAAAGGCGTAAAACCGACCTGATTACACAAGGACGTCAATAATCACCCATGTGCAAAAGATCTTTTAAGTTCAGTATAGAATTTTGATTCCTTCTAATGGAAACGTGAAATATTAGCACAATGTTATGCATCTTTGGTGCCTCAATGTCTCACAAACTGCGGTTAAAGAAACAGGTAGAAGGAAAACCATGTATGATGAAACTAGAGGCTAGAAGTTGTCAATAAAGAAGAGATAAAAAGATGAAAACAGTACAAGATAAAAAGCAATACCAAGTCAGACTTAATACTGCGCTGCAACAACTAAATCACATGAGTACATCATCCAATTTTACACATTTAATTCCTTTACGATTTCAATGATAGTGGAAATGAAAACAGAAACGAAGGCAGAATCGCAAAGTCTAGCTTGCCCTTCATCTTTTTGCATTTGGAGCTTGGGAGTTATTACAACTTTAATGCCAGAACTCCTTGATGCCATGCTAAAGCATATAGAAAGTCAAATAGTATTAGTTCTACAACTTGCTCCTTACTACAATCTTGCTTTTGGGATAAACGTGCCAACTTAACAACAATTGGAGAGCATTAAACAGACCAAAATATAAGGAATTAGACCAAAGAGTGGCTGCACAGTCGAAACAGATTGAACAAAAGACATAAAGGAAGTATGTGGGTTGTTTCATTAAACTGATGAAATCAAAAGGAGGAAGAAAAATGAAAGAAAAGCAAATTATTTAAACCACTACAGATTCTGGAAGGAAAATCCAATTTTATTCTCTTGATAAAATGTCATGAGAAACTTTTCAAAATATTTCACAACGAAGTGTCAATCCAATACATAACATAAAATTGGTGAAAATCAGGAAACCTGAGGATAAACTCCAAATAACATATGAAGACGAGAAAAATCGTCTTCAATTAATAGTTCGAAGTACTGTTCCATACATGGAGAAATAAGTTACATTATGACTTACACAGGTAAGCAACACGAGGATTGATAGGCTCAACCTCATTGGCAACACGAAGAATTGGTCCAAGTTCAACCAGAGATGATGGAACCACTTCACTATCCATCATTGACTCCCCTAAATTGCCGGCAGTTTGAGTCCGTAAAATCTTCCTTTGGGGCTGCATGTCGGAGCCCCTTCTCTGATAAGCCAATTTTTTAGTCAAACCTTCAGGACAAGACTGGACTCACTTTACTTAACCTGTGTAAAACCATCGGAAAGAACTGTCAGGTCAATAACAGTAACAAAACACAAATTATGGCCCATACGAATTACACAGGAACACACTTTTTTGTCCGCATAATAGAAAAAAACATAAAAGTAAATATTTTTATCCAATTCCAGTAATAAAAGCCTCCAAGTTATGAAATAATTCAATAACACCGAAATTATCTTGAGAGTGCAAAATCTAAAGAAACTATAATCACGGTTGAACTATTGTATAGCACATCTACACAATTTCACGGCTTTACAACGAAAGTTTCTCTGTTTGGTATGAGAAAGGAAATTTGGAACCAAACCAAACAATCCAGGGTAATAAGTATCAAAGGTAAAGAAAGGACATCTGTCTCTTGGACATAAAAAATCCATGACATTAAATGACAGAAAAAACTCAATGGGAATTGACATTTCCTTTCACCAGCAGCAAAAACAATAGTTCAAGTTTGAAATCCTTAGACCTCGGCAAAGGAAACAAAACAACGAACAGACAATTAGAGCAGCACATTCTTTTTTCTCTCACCTTAGCACATAAAACCCTGTATTTAGACCTTTCAGTAACTCTCTTTTCAAAGTAGGTCAAATTCTTGATCAAGCTATTCAAATAGAACCCCAATTAAATAATTCCATCACTCACAACAGCTAACAGAGTAATTCACTCTTCTAACTTTACAGCCATCAAGAATTCTAAACAAAAGTTTATTAAAAAAATCAGGAAATCAATTTTCACATGCTTTTCAAACTAGTTTTATCAAGAAGAAAAACTTTAATTGAAATTACCATGAAAGTCGGCAAAGTGGATACTAGGCAGCATAATTGAAGGTTCTGAGAGCAACACAAAAAAGAAAATGATATTTCTAGCTTTGTTGAAGACCCAGAGGTAAACTGGCTGTATCGTCACTTCAATGAAGGGAAGATAAACTTGTAGAATGGCAACGAGTGATCATCTTTTGTGTGTGTGTGTGTGTGTGTGTGGAAAAGTAAGCTGAGAACATTGATTAGTGGTGGGGTGAGAAAAACAAAAGAGGGGTCGTAGGAAAAAGAGCCACCTAACTGACACTCGAGGAAATAAAGCTACGCGCGTAAAACGGTAAAACAACCAAAAAAAAAAAGAAATAAATAATAATAATAATTCAATCTTTTTTAACTCAACTTTAACTCAATCCCATTATCATCAATACTAGTGCATGGCCCGTGCGATGCACAGGAAAACAATATTTTTTGATTGTATTATAAATTAAATAAATAAATAACATTAATCATGATTTACCCATTATTTTTAAATTAAATCGAGTTGGACACAGTCTGACTGGATGGACCGAGAACCGGTTTATAACCAGTCTAGTGCGCTTGGACTGATAGGATCGATACGATTTTCTAAACAAATTTTGTTACATTAAAAATTATTTTAAATAAAATTACATATTTAAATAAAATAGAGATTTATAAATTGTTTATCATATAGTTTAAACATTTGAATTTATAAATTGTTTAGATACTTAAGTAACACTTTTTATTTAAATTAATTACAAAAGTACTATATATATATATATATATATATATAAAAGTATTATGTATTAAAATCTGAACAACCACAAATGATTTAATAAAATAACTTGATCGTTTCTATGACGGTCCGGTTCTGAAAATCTTATATTTACCGTACATTAATAAAAAAGTATAATAAAATAATTATTTCGTTCACATAAATAATAATAAAATGATATGTAAATATTCATAAATCATTAATCATGTTGTCATAAAAGTATTGTTAATATGATTATTTGAAGTTTGGACTACATCACATTCACGTAATAAAGTATTTTCAATATTAAAATTTATATTTAGGTTCAGTAATCGATTTGGTCTGGTCAAATTGATACATAACTTAGTTACCTGGGACCAACCAAGTTGTTTCAAAGTTTTTTGACTATTTTAAATATCACCTAAAAGTAATTCAATCAACGTGGGCACTACCCTAATTCAATCACCCGATTGATCTAAGGTAATTTTCTTATTTTATTTAAATATAATATTTAATTTTATGAAATAAAAAAATTTTATGATTCATATGTCTACACCAAATAATAGTATATTAAGATTATAAATTATATATCTAAAGATGAATTATTTATTATATTTTATGAATATTAATAAAAAATAAACATAGTAATTTAAAAAAAATTAAGATTAATCGATCGGGTATGCAATTTAAAGAATATTTTTAGGGTTATATATATATATATATAAAGATAAAATAAATAAATTGCTGAAAATAGTATATAATAAATGTGGTTTGACTTTTCTTACTACTATTTATGGTAAATGTTAATTCTTATTATATATATATAGATTATTAATATAATTAAATAATATCAATCAATCATTCTTACACACAACATCAAACTTAATTCACTATTCATCAACACACATAATTTTAACTAACCATCACATCGCATCTTCTCTCTCTCATACTTTTACATCAATTTAATTTTAATTATTTTATTTTAAATATTATTTTATCATACCCACTAACAATTAACCATACCAACTTTTTCAAATTTAACCAACCCAAACTAAAAATCCAATCAAAACAAAAACTTTTTATATCCAATCATGCTTAGTAATCTCAATTTTCAACTTCCATACACTTAGACCATACTTCCATATTAATCACATTCTTACGGTTTTATTACTGTGTTGTCTTTTACGTAACAACTATACTTTGGACCTCCACATTATTCATAGTCTGTAGTGTTAATATTAATTCTCTAATTATTGATCTTACAAATGAATTATTATGGTAATCAATTTTTTCTTGTTTTGACTAATCACATATAATATAAGACGATGTTAATTGCGTAGATGAATCATGCAATAAGTGTGACATCTATACTTATATTAAAAGGGGTACTATTTACCAAATTAAGTAGCCAGAAAAGTCAACAGCATTTATTGCATTACTATTTCCGTATTATACTATATAAAAGGATATTCTATTTACTAAATTTACTATCCAGAAAAGTCAACTGCATTAAATGTCATTACTATTTTGGTATTATAATATTTTATTTATTCAATTAATTTATTTATTTGTTTTATTTAAAAAAGGTAAGTATAATAAAAAGATTTTAATAATAAAAAAATTAAATACCAAATTAAAATGTACACTTTGACTTATTTGATTATATTTGGTATTTGATTATACTAAATATATTCCTATTTAGTATATACATTAAATACTTACTAAAGTATTTATTTGTTTTATTTGTCAAAGTTAAGTATAGATTTGTTTATATTATCATAGCATAAAAAAATATTAAATTCATATTGTAAAAAAAAAATCATATAATTTTATAACAATTCTACTACACTATTTAACAATATTTCTTTTTTATTATATAATAAAATAATAATTAAATATTATATAGTGAATAACAATAAGTAATACTGTTACTTTTTCTTATATCAAGGGATAAATTTAGATGCTAAAATTAAATTTTTATTAGTATAAATGTTGTAGTGAGATTATATATTAATTATTTTACAAGCTAGCCCTAACATGCTCATATTTAATGTTTTAAAAGATGTAGAAAAAAAACTTATAATAACTCTATTGTTTTGTAGACTTAAACGTTGATTAAAAGAGGTAAAAATTTCTAATTTTTTAGACTTAAATGTTGATTAACACCATAGATTGAGCGTTTATATTTAGTAAAATTCCTAATTGTAATAAAAAAATTAATTTTTGCTATATTTTAGAATATCTTTAAATTCATTATAAAAAAAAGAAAAAAAAAACTACAATGAAAAAAGCAAGTCAGCTATACATCGATTTGTTGTACTCCTCAAATCACATTCACAATTTGGCTACAAGGAAAGGAAACTGGTTGATTAAAATATTATTTTGTCAGAAGTCTTAATGTAGAAGAGACTTTAAAACTCCACTTGAATATTATAAAACTTTTATTGAACATTGTACAATTTCTTACGTATTATAAACTTTTATTAAATATTGCATCTTATAATATAATATTCTTTAAATAAATATATCTCGTGTTTCGCACGTACTATATATATCTCGTATATTTTTCTTTAAATATATATAATCATAAACTTGGATAAATAACTTTAAAATTGTGCATGTCGTGCATCGCGCGGGCTCTGTACTAATTAACCACTTATCAATTACTAGAGGAGGTTGACATGAAGCTTTAAGGAAAGATGAATAAACAAAGCAAATAAAATTTCTTACTAGACAGATGTATATTATTATAATTAACAAATGCCAAACCTTATCCTATGAATATTGAACATTGGCAAAGTCAAGAAAGAACACCAAAAAAGATACTTTCTTCTTTCCCAATAATATAAGTAACCTCACCTCCACCACACATGATTTTAACCCTATCACTTTATAGAATTTCTCTATAATTTCTTCCATATGGAATGATAAAAGAATCAATTTACTTGGAGTACAGCACTACAGATTGATGTAAGTCGTGCACCGTTGGTTAGACTCTAAATCAAGTTTATATTTGGACCTTTTCTTATAGCTATCCAACTTATTTAAAGGTGATTGTTTATGGATTGAACTAGTTTTTATTTGATTTGTTTTTTAATTATAGTTAATTTTGTAAAAAGGCCTATAGTTAGTTGGTAATGGATATATTAAAATAATATTTAAATAAAATAATTAAAGTTGATTTGATATAAAGTAGGAGAAAAATGATTGGAAGTGATAGTTAGTTGAGTGGATGAATATTGAATTAAAGTTAGATGTGATGTGTAAGAATGATTGTTTGATATTATTTAATTATATTAATAATATTGAAGATGTTGGTGTTGAGTTAAATTTAAATTTTGATTGAGTTTTTTACTATTTATTTTATACACAATCGCCCTCTTAATAGTTAATACATGTACTTGGGCATGATTCATATTAAGTTGATCTTATCACAACTCGGATAATGTATAGTTAATACATGCACTTGGGCATGATTTATATTTTAAATTGATATTATCACAACTCGGATAATGTATCCAAATGTGAATATAACTTGAGTTCGTGTAATATATTTTTTTTATTTTTTATTTATTTATTTTTTTTTGAATCATTCTGAAGCTGAAATTGACTTGACCCATTATTTATTTATTTAATCCGAAAGCTAAATACACTAATCTAATCCATTTTTTTCTTTCCTATTCAGAAAATTTGTGTATTTGGGTAGACACTGGAATTTGCGACTTTTGTTTGTAACTTTAATTAGGCACATTAACACTAAAATGTATTTCTAGTTTTTATCACCAATATAAAGATAAACCGAGTTGGTTTTGTACATAAATAAATGGTGGTAAATGATTACATTGTGACAAATTAAGTTCATTTTATACATATAATTACGTGAAACTCTCATTAAGATTTTGCTATTGTCCCATCGAATCACACAACTCAATAAAATTATCTACAATATACATAAATATCAGTGTTTTGTGACCCGGCGAGTCGACCCGAGACCCGGTCAATCTGGAACCGGAACCAGTCCGAGTGGGGTATTTGGACCGGGCAACAAAGGACCCGGTCAAAACCCGCCGACCTGGGGCAAACCGGTCCATATATATTTTTTTTATTTTTTTTGTTTTTTAAAAATAAAACTATGCATATATGTTTATATAGTAAATATTTATCATGAAATACATATTATTAACACTTTAATGCACAAATTTTATACACAAAATATTTAATTTTGTTACTTTTATGTATATTTATATGACAAAAATACTCTATATATAATTTTATAAATTTTAAAATTAATTATCCGATTCAGCAATTGATGCGGTGACTCAACGGTTGAACTGGTGACCCGATGACCTGCTCGGGTTGATTACCGGGCCGGGTTTAAAAACTATGATAAATATCCCATCATAGATAGTAGTCATCAGTTTCTTACTATCGTGATATCATCGTCATCATCATAAGAAAAGGAAAGTTAGTCAATGGGAGTGGAACCAAACAGCCTTTTCAGAAGATGCCTGTAGCGCGGAAAATGAGGCTCGGTGCAGTTTTTTCCTTTTGTCACTTTCTTTCTAAATAAAATGGGTAGTAATATGAACTTTCATAATATATTTGTTTTAAAATAAAACTATATTATTGTATTGTAAGCACTTTGTACTTATCTTTAAGAAAATACTGATTTTTCCATAATAATTTCAAACTTTTCCGAAAAACAACTTAACTTATAAAAACTTTTGTTAAAGTACTTACTTAAAACTCTTTCTTACTTTTGCTAAAAACTTCTTTTATCTTTGTTTTACTTAACTACTTTTCTCTTTTGAAACTTAAGCTGCAAACTTAAGTTTTTATGGGAAAGTTATAACCATCAGCTAAATTTATTGCTTTCCGAACTATTTAAAACTAACTCATTCATGGATACTTGAAACGTTTTGAAAAACAACTAAACGGTGTCTTAAAACGAGTTCTCAAAACAAATTCTAAGAGAATTTAAAAGCATGAATCTTAAGAGTTTGAGCGGAAGAATAATAAACAATCAACACAACTTGACCACCATAGCCCCTCGTGTCCAACGCCAGCTGCTTAACCTGAAAATGATAATTGTGGGAGTGAGCAAAACAACTAGCTCACCGAGTGGAACCATACTATACAGTTATTCAAAATAAATACAAATATCATATTATAAGCATATAACATTAATAAACTGGCAGAAGATGTTGCTGTATATACGAGATGCTGCTCGTACTGCGATTTTACGATATGCTGATCGACCTCGCCTCGAGTATAGATCATGTGTACACACTTCAGCGGGAATTACGATATGCTGATCTACCATGCACCAGGTGATCATACTGAAATGCCCACGCTAAAGCAATAATACTCATATACATACATCAACTATAATACCTTGCGTTTATAAGGAATAAGGTATTGCACGAAAACACCTCACCTTTTTCTGCTGATGTTGACAGAATGAAATGATATGCACGCGATCTTTGTGAGGGCTCGATTCCTCTTAATCTACAATTTAATTATTTTATTCTTATTACGGGTTTAGATTAACAGGCAGAAAAACACACAAACAAGCAATCTAAGTCAAGTAATTAAGGCAAGCAAGAAAATAAAACAGATAATTCTTCTAACTCTCTCTCAAATTTTCTAGGTCCGTCTAGAGTTCTCGGATAATTTCTAAGGCTCGAAAAGCTTTAATTTTAACTGGCTCGAACCAGCCGGTCCGTGCACGGTCAAACCCGGTTCGGCTCGGTGGACCGTTCGGGTCGACTTGTGCTGCGGTTGCCCACGTGGCACGGCTTGATGAGACTTAGGTCTTGGCCAGGTCGGGGCTACTAGCCTGGTCAGGGCTGCTCGGCACAACAATTTACTAGGTCGCGGCATTGGGGCGCTGCTGGCGCACATGCGCGCTAGCACGAGGTTGTTGAGATATACGCGGTCATCTGCGATGAAGGGCGCTGAGAAATCTCCTCTTCAACTTTTTTAAAATATATCTTGTGGTCTCTATACGAAAAAGTGAAGACAATAACGACGGATAGGTAGGAATCAACTTCTACTTATTTGATCGTTTTGTGGGTGGTATAATTTTTACTCTTTGTACAAAATGAATAATTTGTTTATTTTGTTGTTTTATAACTCCATAATTTCTTAAATGTGCCAACATTTAATTATTTTATCCGTTTTCATTTTTTTTTTTTAATTTTAGAAGCGAGGTCAACATGTGTATTTTGACAGGTCATGTCACTATTTCATTGTCGGATGTGGAAAGTGTGTTTTGATTTGCAAAACTACAAAAAATTGTGTATCAGTTGCTACTATATAAAGATTGTGATTAAAATACAAAAGCGTAAAATGCGGTGCTTTAATATGCAATTCTGCCTTATATTTAAATTAATTACATTCATTATGCATATTTAGTTCATACGAAATGTATATTTAGTTCATCCGTAGTGCATATTTGTTATATTTAAATTTAATATATACATAATGCATATTTAGTTAATTTATTATGCATATTTAATTCATATGACATGCATATTTGTTATATTTAAATTAATTATATCATAATGCATATTTAGTTCATACAAAATGCGTATATAGTTCATCGATAATGCATATTTATCATATTTACATAGATTTATCATATCTAAATATATATAATGCATATTTAGTTCATTCATTATGCATATTTAGGTAATACGAAATGCATGTTTAGATCATCATAGTGCATATTTATTATATTAAAATTAAGAAAAATGTTATAGGTACATAACATTGTACATAGAGGTGTACATAACACTCACATTGAGTGGGACCGACCAAAAATAAAAAATCAAGTGGACCCCACTCCATGTGAGTGTTATGTACACCTCTATGTACATTTATTATGTACTTGTAGCATTTTTCTTAAATTAATTATATACATAATGCGTATTTAGTTAATCGGATTGTATATTTAATTCATCATAGTGCATATTTATTATATTTAAACTAATTATATAAATAATGCATATTTAGTTATTCATTATGCATATTTAAGTAATAAGAAGTGCATATATTGTTGATTATAGTGCATAGTTATTATATTTAAATCAATTATATACATAATGCATATTTTTTTTTTATGCATTTAATTCATTCGAAATGCATATTTAGATCATTAAAAGTGCATATTCAGCTAATGTGAGATCCATCTAACTATTTATTTGTGTAGATCAATGACTCATATCAATCAATTTAAAATTACATTAATATATAAAAAAAGTTAATAACAATTATATTTAAATTAAATATATAAAATGCACATTTAATTGCATATTTTTGCTGCATATTTAGTTCATATGTAGTGCATAAACAATGCATATGTGTACGATACTCGTGTACTATACGGGTACTTCAATATATTAATATTTACAATGCATTGAGTCTAGTCTTGTCTATGTGGCATGTTAATAAACACAAGTCTTGGATGACATAGATAAAACTATGTAAAATTAACAAATCGACTCCAATGCAAAGAGACTATGAGTTTGTTTGGAAATACTTATTGAAAAGTCCATTTCAAGATGGACTTTTTAAAAAATGACTTCTCAAGAAGTGTTCAATATAAATTTCTTTGAAATTGACTTTTTGTTAGAGTTACGTTTTTAAAAGTCCATTTGGTTATTTACACCAAACATCTTTTTATATAATGGACTTTTATAGTCAAAAGTCCGTTACAAAAGTGCTTCCAAACATATACTAAGTCTCTACTTGGGTCTAGAATAAACTTGAGTGTAGACCGGATCTATTTTTCTGGCTGACACATGAGCAGGACTCTGTCTACTTTAGTTTGCATTAGAGAATATATTTTAGACTAGGTCTATTTTGTTAGGTAACATACACTTTTTTGTGATTTTGCTCTTATATGAAAATCTTACGTGCCTTTTATATGCGACTAAGTGTCTATACTCATAAGACGACAAGAGCATGATTGGATATAAATCCAATTAAAAAAAATTCAATTATTTTTAACTCAACTTTAACTCAATTCCACTATCATCAATATTATCAATATAATTAAATAATATCAATCAATCATTCTTACACACAATATCAACCTTAATTCACTATTTATCAACTCACATAATTTTAACTAACCATCACATCACATCTTCTCTCCTACTTTTACATTAATTTAATTTTAATTATTTTATTTTAAATATTATTTAAATATATCCACTAACAACTAATTATACCAATTTTTTCAAATTTAACCAACCCAAACCAAAAATCCAATCAAAACAAAAACTTTTTATATCCAATCAAAACAAGTATCCCTATTTTTTTCTCACCTTATTGCCCCCATTTTTCTCCATTAGTGAATGTATCCCTCCTTTTGTTTCCTTTTCTTTAAATGTGATAGTCGGTAATATTCATCGTCATTCATCGCCATCTGTCCATAAGATATCAATTCCAGTTCGACTTATGCTTCCAAACTCAATAAATATCAGGAATTCCTTAAAGTGGGCTTCCAATTTCAATTTGCTTTCATCGTCATGCGGCGTTTCATATCCAAGATTACCAAATGGCATTGGCGTCAAAGGAACTTCACCTGGGTATGTTTCTTCAATTCTTTTTACTCCAACTCAATGGAATTAATTTTTCTGCGGTTGCTGTTGGACCTTGATCGAGAGAGCATTATACTGACTTGATGATTTATCTATTTGGTTGAACTCGGTTGTGTGTTTGATTTTATTTTATTTTTTCTGAAAAATCCATCTTTTTGTATGGATTTTACGTATTTGGCAGTTCCTATTGAGATTCTTGATTTCGAATTTCAGTGGCCTATGAAAGTAGTGTGCTATTTAGGGCGGTTAATATATTCTGGAATACTTTTTTATTTAGACTCGTCAATTTATTTCGCTTCTTGTTTCTTTTATTTCTTTATGCTTCCCTGCAAGAATATTTTGGGGTTGATTGCTGCTTTTTCAGTGGAAATATGTGTTCCTCGCGAGTAAAGGCTACTGTTGAATCAGCTATGAATATGGATCACATTTGGTTACTTCTTTTAGCAACTGGCAATATCAAGTTGTTTCCTGTGGTGCGAATTTAACCACAAATGATTAAAGCTGTTGCATTTTGCTGCTCCTGTTCCTTAATATCATATTATCATTATACACTTTGATGAGTGGCTGTTTCCTTGTCTGTGTATATAAATTATGGATCCTGCAAAAATATTCTTTTGAAAGTAGCTCATAGCCATCAAATTATTGTTTACAGGCCAACAGTGCAATCATGCCTCTCCTTCCACACAACAGCAGTAATGAACGTACAATAAGAAGCTGCCTTGTTAATGGAACCATACTAAACATGTACTCCACTTCATGTGAAAAACTTCCAGCGGACACACCTAAAGATAGTCAAGTATCTGACATGTTATCCGACTCATTCGGGAGGCTACATACTTATTTAAGGATCTCGTTGACTGAACGTTGTAATTTGCGGTGCCAGTACTGTATGCCTGCTGAAGGTGCAGAGCTTACTCCTAACCCTCAGCTTCTATCTCAGGATGAGATTATTCGCCTAGCAAATCTGTTTGTCACTTCTGGTGTTACCAAAATTCGGCTGACTGGTGGTGAGCCGACTGTAAGGAAAAATATAGAAGAAATTTGCTTGCAGCTCTCGAGGTTGAGTGGATTAAAGACACTTGCAATGACGACTAATGGAATCGTCCTGGCTAATAAACTTCCGAGGTTAAAGGAGTGTGGGCTTAGTTTACTCAACATAAGTTTAGACACTTTGGTTCCGGCCAAATTTGAATTTATGACTAGGCGAAAGGGACATGAAAGAGTGTTGAAGTCCATAGATGCTGCTATAGAGTTGGGATATAATCCTGTCAAAGTATGTTTGACCCTAATGTCCTAAGTTTTCTGTTATCTTGTTTCAGTCATTCTTTAGTTTCTTATTAAATTTTGTAAAAAATAGTATTGGTAATTCTTTCCGGCGTCAAAGATTGTCAAGGATTTTCAAAAAGGCTATCATGTATGTATATTTAAATGTGTTCTATCCCAGGTAAATTGCGTTGTTATGCGTGGATTCAATGATGACGAAATATGTGATTTTGTTGAGCTGACACGCGAGAAGCCAATCAATGTACGGTTTATTGAGTTCATGCCATTTGACGGGAACATATGGAATGTGAAGAAACTTGTACCTTACGCTGAACTTAAGGATATTGTGGTGAGGAGAATTTTGCAGTGTTAAATTTTGTGATTTCCTCATGCATTTCCTGAGTGGTTCAATGTTACTGAACAGGGTAAACAATTTACAGGGCTAAAAAGGATTCAGGATGACCCCACAGAGACAGCCAAGAATTTCTCTATCGATGGACATCAGGGTACAGTTTCTTTCATTACATCAATGACGGAACATTTTTGTGCCGGTTGTAATAGATTGAGACTTCTAGCTGATGGGAACTTTAAAGTTTGCCTCTTTGGTCCTTCGGAGGTAAGGATGTATTGGGTATAAAGCATTAACAATGTTTAGAGTTTAGAATTTCAATTGTTGATTGCATGATATTGCTTAGGTAATCCTTACCAATTTTGGCAGTGGTCCTCACCTTCAATTTTCGTAATCCCCAAAGAACTTGTGGTGGCAGTCAATTGATTGGCCACCAGGAGTGCTACTAATAATATCATAGAGATTTAGCACTTTTGCAGCACAGTTCAAATAATCTTTTGAGTATTCATTTCTTACATGTTTCTGTGAAGATTTAAGTTTTAAAATACATGGCTACCCTATTTTCGTTCCAGGTTAGCTTGAGGGACCCTCTACGAAGTGGTGCTGATGATAGTGAACTTAAAGAGATTATTGGGGCAGCGGTATGTAAATTTTTATCTATCCAACTATAGT